ACAATAGTGAGAAAGATCTCGGATCTGGTCTACAGAGTACAAATCGGACACAAGGAGGTAAACCTCCATGTCGAACAGATCAAAATGTGTAGAGCGCCAAGCGAAGAGTTGAAAGAGAGAAGAAGAGAAAACAGACGCAGAATGAGGGAGCAGAGACCCCTAATTGCAAGAAGCAATATTTCGGATTCCAATGACACAGCATCGTAAAGAGACACAGAGGAAACTTCCTACTGGTATTCACCGCACGAGAGCCAGCGTGCAAATGAAACAAACTGCGAAATCAGAAGTAATGGGATCGCAGACGAAGAAAGAGAAGAGAGAGAGCGAGTGAGGACTCACCAGCATTACGCGCCACGGAGCCAAGCTTGTCCAGTGAGACTCGACATGAATATTCACTACGGCCCCGGAGCCAACGAAGCTACAAAGAATAAAGACGGCCGGAAGTGGAAACACGCGTAAATTTCACACAATTAGACGTTATAAGAAGGGATTAGACTCAGTTGATAGAAACGTTGTACATATTAGGAAGTTTGGTTTAAGTAGGCCTGGTAACGACATACCCGAAGACCCCTAGTTTGATACCCTTCACAAGAGATGTTCGAAATGTTGTGTAGGGATAATTAAGACAGTTGGACCAAGCTACATGGGGAACAGCCTTGAAACTCGGAGAGCGTGCAGTTGTTTGTGCACCCCCTGAGAATATTGATTGGCAATGAGTGAGGCAGTACGCCTCGTACCCAAACACGGAGAACCGAAGGGATGGACCTAGATGATTTCCAACCCGCAACCTCACCCACACACGAATCAAGGTGAGGACAGTGCTCACCGACGCACTGGAGGAAAGAGTAGACGTACTCCCCAACCAAGGGAGGAATAGGTAATAAGGGTGTGGAAAATGACACCGATAACTAGAAGGGTTAGGCAACCGGTTGGAGGAGTTAAATTGTGAACCAATCAGGGTTACACTTTGGGTATTCGGGAAGCTTGAGTAGAAAGTAGGTTAGTACTAGGAAAGAGTTAGGGTAAAATCCATGACTCTGTAAGTAGCGAAATTTGCAAGGGTAGAAGCAGGTGGTTGACGCCGAGGGTACCCTACGAGTAACACGACGAGAAAGACACGGAGATCATCCCACGACGAGAAGGCTGCAACTGGGTCAGCGGACAGCTGACACTGCCTACGGGACGGCCGAGCAGAGGCCGAACCGATAAAATACAATTACAAGACGGCCAGTTGTAACAACTCGTGCTTTCCTGTAAACACTGTGATTCCCTATGTAGTTTAATAGCTGGAAAAAAGATAATTCCTTGATCCCCTATACTACCTGCTATCACATGTAAGCCTGGAAAATTAGATGGCAAGAATGCAACCCTTTGTCTATCACACCGAAATATACATGTAACTTAGAAATCACTTGCCATCATTGTTCATGCTATAACACATACTCTACACACAACTGTGCACATTTCAAACTGTCATTTAACACGTATGCCAGCATAACACCGACGACAAAATGTGTTTCACTTATCATACCACCTTGTTATAAGCAAAAATTCTTCATACTAAACAAGATATGTACATAAAAGGGGAAACTTCTGAATCCACTGTGGCTGAATGAAAATCTTAACGTTCTCGAAAACACCACAATAACTCACTAAACATCACTGTATATATTGCACACAAAAAAAGACAATCTCAGACTAGAAAATTTAAATTTCACTTTACACTTGACAACACTGTAACGAAAAGAACACACCCCACACACACCACTCTCAGACAGAACTAAGACATAAATTCAAAAAATAACTTCTTCAATGGGAAACAGAAATTCACTTTGCACCCTCTTCATACAAGTACTTATAATAATACATAAAAACATATCATTCTGACTAAAAACCTGAACACACGTGTAATATTCAGAGGTTACATACCAAAACTACAGCCTTTTTTGTCATACCAAATATACACTAATTAAATAAAATTCACTCTCTATTCATATAACCACTAAAACACACTTCTTCTAAACAACTCTACATAATTCACACGATATTATTAATAGTGCAAGAATAAACACCAGGACACATTGCCTCACAAAATACCCACTAATCTTATGTTCACTCACTTTCGTTAAATAAATAACTCTACCTTATCATGTATCCTTCCTTCACACATACATCAGTTTCATGTTTCAAAAGGAAAATAATTCTATTTTTTTGTTGAATATAGGAAACACATGTTTGTAAAATTTGGTGCACAGGCCATTACTCGGTCCATGGATAATACACACATTAACACCTACAATTTGCACTATCACACTAAACTTTAAACATATACTTTCAGGCAGATATTTAATCACAACATGTACATAAATGTTTATAGACATATACATAACACCATCTTATTATTTATGAATAACTCTTCATACCAGGATAGAAAAAAAAAGTTGGTGGTGCAAACCGGATATTTAGGTCACAGTGACAGGGCGGCCAACCTCTTAACATATCTGAAACAGAAACATTCGAATACAAGTCCGATTACAGGACGGCAATTTTTCACCCTATTTTTTTTTTACGAATTTTAGTGTATAATATAATTCTACTTCCTATTCAGGAAGGGAAATTCGGGGTGAAAAATGCCCAGCAGTCACTCAATTGGTCGCGTATCCCTACACGAGAAAGAAGGGAACGATTTCACTGAAAACAAAGATTTTTCTTCATAAAGTTATGCCATTGGAGGGCAGCATCATGCCATAATATGTGATATTCTGTAATCATTTATATTACCGTGGGGGATTCGCAAACTCTTGAGGTGGAAGAGGCGTTATCGACACAATCTAAGCTATCACGTAGCAATAGGACCTCGGAATATAACAACAGAAATTTATATTATGGGTGGAAAAACAGTTAAGACGCTCAATTTTATACATAACTTCATATTTCGTCTTATATTCCACATTACGACAGTCCTATATTACGTTCTGTTAAATACCAGCTTCGTAAATGACGTCACCCTTAGGTGTGCGCAATGAACTACTGCGCACCCACCTGTAAACCAGGTGGCTGGCCCTTGGATCCCTGATGTTAGGTTAAGTTAGGTTAGGTTAGGTTCGTCAGATTAGGTTTGCGCAGTAGGCTACTGCGCATCCATCTGTACCTTGGAGGAGGCCAAGTTTGGTAATTATGCTAATGTTACGTTGTGATTGTACATTATTATAGGTGTGCGCAAACGACTGCTGCCCATCGTTATGATCAGTTAAGTACGGTTTGGTCGTCGGCAGTATCTTACGATTGAATGCCTCTGATAACGTAGTAAATCATTATATATTAATGCGGGAAATTTTATTCCCGAAATTTCTCACGTCACAAACTCTTGCATATATTTTTCTGAAAAAACTCTGTACATATTCAATGAAACCTGGAATATACTACCAAATTTATAGTAGATTTAAATGCACCTTTCCGATATACCGATATTTCAAAACGCTCTCAAGTGAATGATATCACAATTATCTCGATTTACTTTTACAATTTCCACAAGTTCCGCAAATTTTCTCTTTTCCAAAGTTCCCATTATTAACTTCATTATGTTTTTCGACATATATCAAAGACATACATATACTTTATATGAAACGTATACTCCCCACAATACTAGTGCTCAAATAGTCGATAGGGAAATCACTGATTACGATCTCAACCTAACAATATATCATTCAATATAAATAAAAAAGAACACATCATTATATGTGTTCTAACCTAACTAAAAAATACCAATTCAAGACTGTCAGCTGTAACATGTCGTGCAATCCTGTAAACTGTGTTATTCTCTAAGTAGATTAATAGATCCAAAGAACATAACTCCCTGATCCCCTATACTACCTGCTAGAAAATGTAAGCCTGGAAGATTAGATGGCAAGAATGTAATCCTTGTCTGTCACACCGAAATATACATCTAACTTAGAAATCACTTGCCATCATTCTTCAAGCTATAACACATAAACTACAGACCACTGTGCACATTACACTGTCATTTAACACACTTGCCAGCAAAACAACAACGACAACATGTGCTTCACTTATCATACCACCTTGTTATTAGCAAGAATTCTTCATAAACACAAGATATGTACATGAAAGGGGAATCTTTTGAATCCAATGTGTCTGATTGGAAATCTTAACGTTCTTCAAATCTCTAGAATAACTCACTACACATCACTGTATATATTTTTCACAAAAAACAATGTCACAATAGAATAATTTTAACTTCACTTTACACTTGAAAACACTGTAATCAAAGCAACACATACTATACACACCACTCAGTCACACAGAACTAACACATAATTTAAAATAAAAACTTCTTCAATGGGAACTAGAATTTCACTTTGCGCCCTTTTCTTATAGGTACTTATAATAACACAAAAAACGTAACATTCTGACTAATAACCTACACATACATTTAATATTCAGAGGCTACATACCAAAACTACACCATCTTTTCGGTCATACCAAATATGCCCTCATTACATATATTTCACTCTCTATTCATATAATCACTAAAACTCATTTCTTCCAAACCACTCCACATAATTCACTCGATATTATTAATAGTGCAAGAATAATTTTAAAGAAACGTTGCCTCACTACACACCCACTATTATAACATTAATTTATTTCGTTAAATCAATTTTATCATGTATTCTTCCTTCACACATACTTCAGTGTCATGGTGCAGAGGAAAAACACTTCGATTTCGTTGTGGAACAGAGGAGACACATGTTCGTAAAATTTCGTGCACTGGCCATTTCTCTGTCCAGGATAATACACACATTAACAACTACCATTTGCACTATCTCACTGAATGTCTTACATATACTTTCAGGCAGATAATTAATAACAATATGTACATATATGTATATAAACATACGCATAACACCCTCTTATTATTTATAAATACCTCTTCATACCAGGAAAGAAACCAACCTTGATGGTGCACACCGGATATTTAGGTCACACTGACAGGGCGGCCAACCTCTTAACATGACTGAAACAGAAACATTCGAATATCAGTCGGATTACAGGACAGTAATTATTCACCCTATTTTTTTTCCCTTTTACGTGTATAATATTATTCCACTTCCTATCCACGAAGGGAATTTCGGGAGAAACAAATGCCCACAACTCACTCAATTGGTCGCGTATCCATAACCGAGAAACTAGGGAACGATTTCACTGACAACAAAGATTTTTCATCATAAAGTTATGCCATTGGAGGGCAGCATAATGCCATAATATGTGATATTCAGTAATCATTTATATTACCGAGGGGGATTCGCAAATTCTTGAGGTGGGAGAGGTGTTCTAGACACAATTTAAGCTATCACGTAGCAATATAACTTCGGAATATACAATATAAATTTATATTATGGGTGGAAAAACAGTTAAGACGCTCAATTTTATACATAACGTCATATTTCGAATTATATTCAACGTTACGACAGTCCTATATTACGTTCCATTAATAACAGCTTCGTAAATGACGTCCCTCTTAGGTGTGCGCAATGAACTACTGCGCACCAACCTGTAAACCAGATGGCTGGCCCTTCGATCCCTAATGTTAGGTTAAGTTAGGTTAGGTTAGGTTCGTCAGATTAGGTATGCGCAGTATACTACTGCGCATCCATCTGTACATTGGAGGAGGCCAAGTTCGGTAATTTATGCTAATGTTAGGTTGTGATTGTACATTATGATAGGTGTGCGCAAACGACTGCTGCCCATCGTTATGATCAGTTAAGCACGGTTTGGTCGACGGCAGTATCTTACGATTGAATGAATCTGTTAGCGTAGTAAATCATTATATATTAATGCGGGATATTTTATTCCCGAAATTTCTCACGTCACAAACTCTTGCATATATTTTTCTGAAAAAACTCTGTACATATTCTTTGAAACCTGGAATCTACGACCACATTTATAGTAGATTTAAATGCACCTTTCCGAAATACATATTTCAAAACACTCTCAAGTGAACGATATCACAATTATCTCGTTTCACTTTTATAATTTCCACAAGTTCCTCAAATTTTCTCTTTTCCAAAGTTCCCATTATTAACTTCGTTATGGTTTTCGACATATATCAATGACATACATATACTTCATATGAAAGGTATCCTCCCCACAATACTAGTGCTCAAATAGTCGATAGGGAAATCGCTGATTACGATCTCAACCTAACAATATATCATTCAACATAAATAAATAAGGACGAACACATCATTATATGTGTTCTAGCCTAATTATAAAATACCATTTTAAGACTGTCAACTTAAACATCTCGTGCAATCCTGTTAAATATGTTATTCTCTAAGTAGTTTAATAGATGCAAAGAACATATCTCCCTGATCCCCTATACTACCTGCTAGAACATGTAAGCCTGGAAGATTAAATGGCAAGAATGCAATCATTTGTGTATCACACCGAAATATACATCAAACTTAGAAATCACTTTCCATCATTCTTCAAGCTATAACACTTAATCTACAGACCACTGTGCACATTTCACACTGTCATTAAACACAATTGCCAGCATAACACCAATGACATCATGTGCTTCACTTATCATACCACCTTGTTAGAAGCAAGAATTCTTCATACAAACAAAATATGTACATGAGAGGGGAAACTTCTGAATCGAATGTGCCTGAATGAAAATCTTATCGTTCTTCAAATCACTACAATAACTCCCTACACATCACTGTATATATTTCACACAAAAAAACAATGTCACTCTAGAAAATTTAAACTTCAATTTACACTTGACAACACTGTAATCAAAACAACACCTACTATACACAACACTCAGTCACACAGAACTAACACACAATTTAAAAAAATAACTTCTTCGATGGGAACTAGAATTTCACTTTGCGCCCTCTTTTTGTAGGTACTTATAATAAAAAAATCATTCTGAATAATAACCTACACACACCTTTAATATTCAGAGGCTACATACCAAAACTACACCCTCTTTTCTGTCATACCAAATATGACCTCATTAAATATATTTCACTCTCTATCCATATAAACACTAAAACACATTTCTTCTAAACCACTCCACATAATTCACTCGATATTTTAATAGTGCAAGAATAAACTTAAAGAAATGTTGCCTCACTACACACCCACTATTCTAATATTCACTTATTTCGTTAAATCAATTTTATCATGTATTCTTTCTTCACACATACTTCAGTGTCATGGTGCAGAGGGAAAACCCTTCGATTTCGTTGTGGAACAGAGGAAACACATGTTTGTAAAATTTCGTGCACTGGCCATTTCTCGGTCCAGGATAATACACACATTAACAACTACCATTTGCACTATCACCCTGAATCCCTTAACATATACTTTCAGGCAGATAATAAATGTATATAAACATACGCATAACACTCTCTTATTATTTATAAATTCCTCTTCATACCAGGAAAGAAACCAACCATGATGGTGCACACCGGATATTTAGGCCACACTGCAAGATCGGCCAACCTCTTAACATGACTGAAACAGAAACATTCGAATATCAGTCGGATTACAGGACAGTAATTTTCACCCTATTTTTTCCCTTTTACGTGTATAATATTATCCTACTTCCTATCCACGTAGGGAATTTCGGGAGAATCATATGCCCACAACTCATTCAATTGGTCGCGTATCCATAACTGAGAAACTAGGGGACGATTTCACTGACAACAAAGATTTTTCGTCATAAAGTTATGCCATTGGAGGGCAGCATAATGCCATAATATGTGATATTCAGGTATCATTAATATTACCGTGGGGGATTCGCAAACTCTTGAGATGGGAGAGGTATTCTCGACACAATCTAAGCTATCACGTAGCAATATAACCTCGGAATATATAACATAAATTTATATTATGGGTGGAAAAAGAGTTAAGACGCTCAATTTTATACATAACGTCATATTTCGACTTATATTCAACGTTACGACAGTCCTATATTCATCATCATCATCAGTAATCTGTCAAGACGACAGGTTCACAGTCTCTTTCAAAACAATTCCTCCACTTAATGCGATCTAGAGCTTTCTCCTTCAAATGACAGTATCCTCTTCTGTCCCCAAGGTCATCCAGCATCTTCTTACGTCTTCTTCCTCGTCTTCTTGTCACTTCTATCCGCCCATCTATCTTTCCTTCGATAGCTTCTTTTAGAAGGCAGTTTC